ATATTGTCAGTAGTGTGGAGGACCACGAGGTAGGTGGTCAACAAGGCATGTTCCAGGGCACTCATAATTTCACTTTTCGTTGCGAAATATTGCCAAAAAATTTGGGCAATAAGTAAGTGCGAGAAAAACAAGCTATTTTAAGAAGTAGATTCAAGGCGTAGATTTCCTACCTATTTTGGGGTAACTTTGTTCCATTATTCAGGCAGTACAGTACCCCTCAAATAGATCAAGTAGCCTTAATTTGCTTTAAGTTCGCCAAATCAGGAGTAAAGGTGGGTTACATTAAGTGCAATTTGGCAGAGACTGCTGGAAACGGGTACGCAGTTACGTGATCAGAAAGGCTACTCAGACAGAGCATGCAACCGTGGGTAAATGTCCACCGCCTTAAAGCTTTGGAAAGGAGCACTTATGGATGAAGCTGGCGGAAGTGGGAGGCCAGAAGTGTCAAGGTTTGGGTGTACTTCATGGCTAAGTCAGTGTATATGCATAAAAGTAGGACGATATGTTCTTCCATGTTATAGGTTCGGCTCGATGATCATTTGTCATGGCAGCTTCAAGGTGTTTCCTGAGGACGTGGTGGTGTAATTTGATAGTTTGCAAGGCTAGGTCAAAGGTAGTGGTATTCCTTATCCATCTATCTGTCCATTAATCCACCCATCCATGCATCTAGCCGTCTGAAGCTTTACATCTGCCAAACTTTCCCTTATTCAACCACCGTACTTCCTTTGTAAAATGAGCACGTAGATTTGCTGAAAGTAGAACATGATCGCTCAACTCGAAAAGGCCTTGACCTCAACAATGCGTGTGGCATTTGGGTTTGTAGCAAAGGATCCAAGATCACCCCTCTACGTGACCGATTACCGCAGTAGCAACAACAAAAAATTTCTCCTTCCAGATTAACCAATGCATACGTTCAAAAATGAAGGCGCCGATTTACTTCTTTACCTTTTAATAGCCCTAAGCGAATTCCCGAAGATTAATTTGCCATTCCATTCTTAAAGCCAAACGAATATTTATGATCATGGGTAAGACAGTTCAGCATTTTGAGGTAATTTTAGAGGAAATGGAATCCCCTTCCCAGTGGGATAAAATAAACTCTCAGAATGATTTTAATTTATTACTCAACAGTGGATAAATCAAATAATAATGATGATTTTTTCTCCGGCCAAATCTGCTGGACGGATTCACGTCAATCCGAGACTTTAAAATCAGTTACCGCCGACCTACTGAATTAGATATCTAGTAGTAGCCGGGCCATCATACAAATTTTTATTGGTGGATACATGAGTAGACAAGGTGCGATCGTGCGTTTATCCAACGACCCATTCTAACAGAAAAGGCTAAAATTTTCCGACCTCCAGTATGATATGCAAAGAAATTTTGGGGTTCTGCAAGAGTTTTCCACCTCCCTGACAGCAAATTGAAGGCGGTTGGCCCACCCATTCTTGACATTTGTTCTTCCCTCATGCTTGTTGCTCACCTAAGAGACGTTTATCTCCTTTCTTTCCCCAATTGTAGTTCGTTTAAGAGGGTAAATTTATATTTTATGTCTATGCACTTAAAGTCAATGAAAATGTACAACTTTTAACGGGCAAGTCTGCCACATCGTCAGGGAAGACCTTGCAACGTGCTTCCGGATGCCTAAATGCTTTCTCCGACGGCCTTTATAACCTCGCGGTTGATGTCTAGCCCGCTTTATGATCCCCTCGGTGGTGGGGGTGAAGGTTGGTCATTAATAGATGAGGAGTTTTTCAAAGCTGCTCCTATTTACGCACAAAAATGAAAATATTTTGAAGCTGCTTTGGTTAATTCAAACATTTGAGGACTTGGATTAATGATTCTCTTAGTTCAAAGGATCGAGGGCTAATAAATTTTGACTAAACTTGTAGATTTACCTTAACCACACCACATTGCAGACGTGAAGCTGCTAATAAATAATTTGCCCCAAGAAAGTACCGAAAAACCCTAAAAATGTTGTCTCGTTTCGAGGGGCCACGAAATAGTAACACCTTGTAAGTTGTGGGAACTTCTACTTACCTTACTGCAGTTTTTGGGTACGTAGTTGATTGCCTCGCTCGCTGAAGGATTTCCAAATGGAGGTTTTCACCGCCTAGGTTTAAAGTACGGCCTGGTGTACAGAGGAGTACTTGGGGAGCCTCACCTCTTGCGCATTTCCTCTCAGATGACCTCAGAGGGCAAGCGGAGTGCTAGCCCATGACTTTCTTAGTTAATCAGAAGATGAGTAAGAAAAGCGCTGACTGGGAATATTTCTAGAGGGTGAAGCGCCTCTTCTGAGGTTGTACATGACCCCAGTAAGTGGTTTAGTCTACCACTGCAACCAATTCAAGTGACCCAAACATAACCAATCAGGCAATTTGATTGATCTTTTAGAGGAAGAGAGGTCGTTCGACTTGACAGGTCATTGCTCCCCCTGAAATGTCTGAAAAACTAGTCGCGTTTAGCTGACAAATTCAATGCAGGCAGATCCCAACTGTTCACATCAAACAGGGATGTCAAGGCTCATGCTACTCACGAAAACCAGTTAAGTAATATTAAGGTGGCAATTGCAAGGTAGGAAGGTATATTTGAGCTGTCCGATCGCACTGCAAAAAACCCTAGACTGAGGTCTTTCTTGCAAGCAAACCAATTACGTGACTGACAGATATGAAATAGTCACATAACGGAGGCAGAAGAAGGCGCTGACACGGAGAGATTTCACATCCTTTCAACTGGCCTTTCTTTAGCACCAAATATTACCACATCGTCTCCAGCCACTTCTCTCAAAGGATAAAGGCTATATTAAACACCTTGAATATTATAGGTATCTCAACATTTACAAACTTGTTTTATGCTGTCATGGAGCCGGGGCAATCACTTAGTTGGGAATTTTATTGCCCACATGTTAAGAGGTACTTACTTTGTCAGGCTTAAAGCCGGCGAGTATACAGGGACACCATTATTTCCTGGCTGATGGCTACTAAAATGGCACTAAAAGAACTAATACTGGTAGGTAAATGAAGGCTAAATTATGGACTGTTAATAAGTCGTGGGGCTTTCTTTGTACCTCGCTGTAATGCTTGGTTTTGACCTGGGAGGAAGAGACTCGTAGAAGGCATTTTTTTTCGCATGAAGGCTAGAGATGCATCAGTCCCTCCTTGCGATCCGTCTTCCTCTTGATACGCCTTAACAGTCGCCTGCCAAGTCCGACCCACCCTCAACTCCTCTAATGTTGGTTTAATCCCTCCATGCTATCAAAGCAGAAGCAGTACCTCCTCAAAGTCAGCGATGAAAAAGTCATAAAACTGTGTGTGAATAATTGTACGCGATGGGATGGAACAATGACATTCTCGGCTTCCGGTGGGTTGACAATTTGCATAACGCTGTGTTTTACTTCTAATTTTAGGTCTGCGAAATAGTACGGGGAAAAACGCCTTTTTGCTCCGCTTTGCTCTACTGCCCGACTGTCCGATCCCTTGCGGAGGGATGCCTCATCGTAATTCCTAAACCAAAGAGTAGGGCAGAAGCCCGTTTATTGGAACGGAGAGTTGGAGGGTAATCTCCCAGTTGAGGAAACAAGATCGTGCTATACGATCCATGCGCTGCCGCATTACACACCTCAAAGGCGAGCAACATTTCGCCCCCATTTGATGTGTGTAGATACACGTGTGTGGTTTACTGCCGATCAGATTATTCACGGTGAATTATTCACTTCCTGAAGTCAAAATACCTGCGATGCATCCCGTAGTCGCATGACACAAATAAGGCAGTCAGAAGTAGTGACTCAGAGGGGAAGGAAACTGATATAGGCTGCCTCCTAATCCTAGTCGCCTCCCATCTGGCCAAGTAGTGATTAACATCTAGCCATGGTATTTGATGCCAACATGCAGAATAGAATGAACAGCTGCTAAGGTAAAACGGAGACAATCATAAAAATAGCTCGGGTTAGGTTTTTTGCCTGTCGGTAAAAGTGCTTCAGCAACCATTTTGCGCCGTGGTGGAAAAAGGCAGAGATTGCCGAATCCCCCTGAGCGGGAGTCCAGATGTATGGCCTTATTAGGCCTAAGCTAAATAAAGTCCGGATGAATTCAAAAATGATATTTATGCCATAATACTATTTACGACGGCGATTATGTCCCTTGGGTCTTGAAAAACTGAAGTGGTGTAAATAACCCTGCAGTATTTTGGCGCTTTTAAACTACCTACTAGTATAGTGTAAGTAACATTTTTAACTTTGCAAATTTTGCAAAAAAGACCGGTTTTCTAAATGCCGCAAATTTGCTGTCTCATTTTGAGCTATTTTTTAGCACATTTATGCATAAGAAACTCACTGTCACTCAATTGATTGACGAATTTGTGCATAGCTTATTTCTGATAGTTGAACCATGGGTTTTCAAGAACAGTGTTTTTGCAGGTGTATTACCCTTCTAAATTACTTTACAATAGGTGAAAACTCCTTCAAAACACATCTAATAATTTTTGTGCTTGTCATTAAATCAGCTGATTTAAAACACGCAGAAAAAAAAATGCGGTATAAACGAATTTCACTTTAAGCTGTGTCAACGGCTGGTGCGTCGCTATAGAAGGGGAAAAAAGACTTAAATCGTTTGATTTTTGCATAAAAAAACAGGAGTCTTCACTTTCTTAATACCTACCTTCAAAATTTTAATTTCCGGTGGTCCTTCTGCTGGGAGTTATGAAAAGTCGCGTTGGTGGGAGAGTTGAGGCGAGTGCTTAATCATTTCCAACAGAGGCACTAGGTGAAAGCTTCCGCCGTGTCTAATTCCAGCAGTGATGGTTTAATTAACACTCCTACTGCCAGAAAGGAAACAGCTTTAATTGACTTCCTCACTTCCATGCGATGCTTATTTAAGTAAGTCTAAGTGGGAATAGGGGAAAAAAGAATGTTGTGCGAATTGAAGTACTTTACTGTCTAATTGTGTAGCCAAGATTTTGGTGTCAGCATCAATAACTTTTCTGTTTCTCTCCTTTAGATCAAAACTTGATGGTGCTGTTTCCGACACGCACTCGTCACACATACGTGACGCTGGTTAACAAGTATAAATTATAAAAAATAATTTCAAACAGCTGAATTCTTAAAAACGGTGAGTTTTAAGGATGGGTGGTTTCCGGTTATTTTCACTTTGCTTAAGGGTAGTGATAGACGCGACATTGTCGGAGAGACAGGGTTTCCCTTAGCACTGGGATTTGTAAATAGAGGGTATGTATCTGAAGCATGCAAACTTAGTGCAGCAATCACAGAGTAATACTTTCAGAGATGTTTACTTTTGGTGGATCAGATGCAAAAGCCACAACCGCGAGAAATGATAAAGGAATTGAGTAACGCTTACCAAAGTTGGATTTTGGACTTATAACAGGTTCACATCAAAAGGTCGTGTATATGAGAGATGTCCTCTATTTCTAGCCTAGACTCAGCGTCACACATATGTGAAACCTTTCATTCACGTTTTTAATATAATTGGTTATATATAACCATAATACCTACCAATTGGAACAATTTTAATTGATTAAGTAGATAACAAATTTTCATGTCCTGTTGACTATAATGCACTTTTTTAGCTGTTCGATACAAAGATGATCTAATTTCCAGTGATCGGTTTCGCCCATCAAGGCTTGATGGGTGAGAAAACCCGCTGTCTTGAAATAAGTGAAACTTACCTTAATTTTCATGACCACAGAGAAATTATCTCCCCGCCTTCACTGGTCACTAATCTAACTCATTTTCAAGCGCTAAGGCAAGCATTTGGATTGTGTGTGCGTACCACATCACACAGCTCCTTAATCGTGGGGATAGATTGGCTTATTGCATGCGGCCTGCTAACTGGCGCCAAATAACACCCCTCGCTCGCTTATTCTCCCTTGCTTCCCACCCCCCTCACTTCTCCTCCTTCCCCACCATTTGGCGACATTCAAACACTCACGTAACACAACATGAATTGAATGAAGAAAGGAATGAAGTTTCGGCTCTCCTGCAGTCAGTTAGTTAGCAAAGTTGTGTGTTAGGGGGTGGGAAGGAGGAAGATGGGCCAAGATTACATCTTTCATAGCTCCCTAAACTGTGGTTAGTGGATAGAAGGGAGGAACAGGCTTTCCAGCCTCACCTCCCCTCTCTCCCTCTTTTCTCATATTGTGTCTGGCGCCAATGACTTGCGTGTTCAGTATTTAGAACTGAGACACGCGAGATGATGATGATCTGAGGATGGCGATGATGTTGATAATAATTCTCAATATGGGCTGATAAGTTAAACTCGGGGTGGTGAGGGAGATGTTAGTGGTGGTGGTGGTAGCAGTAGATTTGCCTTCAGGAGACTAACTGCAATTGCGTGCTCATGTTCGTATATGCACGTCGTACTCTGTCTCTCTTTCCCCCACCATCACCTCCCCGTAGCCTAATTCTACCCCTCCTCATACACGACGACAATTTATGCGAGCTTCACATGAACCAAGCACAACAACAGCAGCCATGAATGTGCATGCTGATGGTAGCATTTGTCCTCGTACATCATATGCTGTAATCGGAAAATGCTAAATGTGTTTTAGATACTAAAATGGTAGTTTTATATTCCTGTACAAGCCAGAGTGTGTGATTTTATGCAGAGGGGAAAAACGACAGGCCAAATTTGAGACCATGATGGCTTAAAAACCCTTTTTTAACAGTTGTTTAAATCGACTGCTACAAGTATAAAATCGACTTCAACTCCGTTCTACATCTGCTAAGTTTAACCAACATTTGACAGTAGGAGAACTGAGGGGAAGGGGGAGGTGAAGAAGTGAAGGGCGCAAAAAGAGTCGCACTGATGGCAGACTGAGGTAATTATACGTGGACTTGCCAATGTACGCATATAGGAATGGTTATGGACTGTGCATATCCCTTTCCCAATGTTGGACTACTGTCGGGGCTTCTTGACGTTTGTAATCCATCCGCAGTTATTTGTCATTAGAGAATAACGTAGTCGTTGCGATTTCATTGAAAAGTATTCAAGTTTGACTTTTAAACAAACTACCAAATTTTGACATTGAATTTGGTTAGATTGAAAAAAGAACCGGAAAATTTATCTATTTTGTTAAACGGAACTTACAAAGATCCTTCCTTTTTTCCCGAATACATGGTCTCAAGATTAACTACCGCTATTTGCTGCTTAATTTTGAAGTCAGTTTTTTGAGTTTTTTAGTACCTTCGGTGGGAATAACAAATAAATTCAATTGCAGAAAATTGCTTAAAAAGTAGCAAATAGAACTGGCGTGTAATTGCTGTTTTATAAAAGATGACGTTCTACATGAGACGCGCACTTTACACACTTTAACAGTGTATTAGCCCTAATTTTCGATAAAATAGGTACAAATGAAACCTTATTTAATTATTTTTGCGCATCCATTAATCAGGCGGACTCAGTAAACCACAGTTGTATGCATATGCGCAATCGGGCCTCGAATTGACCAATCATCAGGCGATAATGTGTACCCGGGGGGAGCATGGCCACCAATTAGCGTGCCTAATGAGAGTGCAAGCGAGACAGCTAGCCAATCAGCAAACGTCTTCCACGCTTCTTACCCTATAAAATGCGGCGACTACTAATACGATGCACACAATGCCTGGCTTTTCGGTAAATGAGCTGATGTCACCCCAGGTTACCATCGCGGGCCTCCTGCAAGGATCTACACTACCCTCAGAAGTGACCCTTCAAGACGCGAACCCATTAACCAATCAAAGCTTCCGTATGCGAGAGAGTAATTTTGACGTCTACCGAAGTGCGTTCAACATGTTGGGCCTAATCATGAAGGGGAGGGAGAAGTGCTTAGAGGTGTCGACCCCTCCCTTTGGTGGGTGCCTTGCCTATCCTCTGGACCGGGGCACAAGATCCGAGGAAATGGGCCAATGTTTCTTTCCACCATTACATTCACAATACTTAAACGATTCGTTATCGTATGGAGCCCTTTTTGGTGGTAAGCAGTTGACGAAATTGCTTTTAAGCAGAAAGGTTTTATTAGTTTTTAATACAATGCAATAACTTAACCTTTGTGCAATTATTTGAACCATGATAGATGCCATGTGAAGCTCTTAGAGAATGTGGTGCTTTAAAATTTGCTAATCAGATATCAATTAACCTTTGCAAATTTAAATCATTCCCACAGAAGAAGAGTTAAGAGGTCAAAAGCTTAGTTTTTGGAAGCGAAATAAATCTCAAAGTCTAAAGAATTTACATTGGCAATTCAAATCAAATCAACATCCCCTTTAGCAAGAAAATAACAAAAAATGAGTTCTTGGCAAGTTTTTATTGAAAATACATAAAAATCTTTTAACCCACTAAAAGTTTTTTTTTTCTTGATTACACGATCATCTATTGGCGGATAGGCACAACCTGTCAAAATAAATGATAAATAGCGCAAATTTTGGTTGGTCGTCCAACTTAAAAATGTAAATCTGACTAATGGAGGGTAATTTTTTTGACTTTCTCGTGCATGTAGATGCTGCGGCCAACAGCATTCGACCCTATCGCAAACCGAAGCGCATTCGAACGGCCTTCTCGCCCTCCCAACTGCTGCGATTGGAGAACGCGTTCGAAATGAATCACTATGTCGTAGGTCAGGAGAGAAGACGACTTGCAGAGTCGCTTAGTCTTACGGAAACTCAGGTAATACTGCTTAATTAATAATGTGCAAACTCTTGAGTTATTTTTGATAATGTTAAAGCATGTAGGAGTCTAGACATACTTATATTTTGAAGTTCTGGAAGTGCTGGAAATTGAGGTTGAAATAATCTTATAGGTGAAGGTGTGGTTCCAGAACCGTCGAACCAAATTCAAACGTCTCTGTTTGGAAGAGGAGGAGGGAGGTGGAAATAGAGGAGGCGACCAAGAGAAAGCTAGTGGTGGTAGCGCCTGTGACGACCGAGGTGATGGTGAGCCTCTTCCTCCCTCCAAAATCCTCCATTCTCCCACTCCCTCTACCCTCGAGTCGCGTGAAGGTTTTGATGACTCCACATCACCTGCACCTCCTTCACAAAATGAGGAAGTAGCACTTAACCTGAGTACTTCCGCTACCACCTCTAAGGTCGTTTGCACTGCCTTGCCCCCACCTCCGCAATCCTCGAGCACGGCTACAACATCTACGCCCGCTGAGCGAGTGATGTTCCACCCCCTTAGCAGTCTCCTAGCCTTTCAGGATGAGATGCGTCAACTGTTGCAGTCCCGATCTTTGAATGTGTGGACGCCACCCCTTTAAGGAATCAATTCCTTTGACCTTGATGCTCCTTTATTGACCTTCTTGATAAGTTGAATGTGATAGTGGAGACGTATAATAAACTAATTTTACAGACTTCACGGTATTTCATTTTATATGTCAATTATGGGATGACACTGGGGTCAAAGGGTACGTTTATGTGAGAGGGGGCAAACTATCTGTGTGAGAGGGGAGAACGACTGGTTTCGCGATTATTCCAACAGAGTACTCTTATGGAGTTCCTGAATGCCTGGAGAGTCCAACGCCAACACAACCTGCTCCAGACGATGCACGATCTCAAAATCCGGCACGCATAAATAATCGCACTTGAGATTGAGTAGTCGAGCCACCACACTCCGGAACTCTAGCAGCTAGATGGAAAGAACAAAAATAAAACAACCCCGAGGTTAGTGTTCAAGCGAATGCCTTCGTAGTTCAAATAATTGCTTTTGAACGATGAGGTGGCGCTCCTGACCTCAAAGTAGTCGGTCCGTTGCCTAATCCAACATCAGAGAAAGCAAAACAACTTTTTCTTTTCACCAACTCTTTCCACTTTCGAGCCCACATGTGTTCTAGTGCGGCATACATAGTTCAGACCGTTTTTCAAATAAGTGACTACCTTTGAAGGGTCCTAGACACTCGAACCAATGCGTGGTCAAGTACTAGGTTCATTATTTAAAATCCCAAATCACTTTTTTTCACTTCCACAGCTTACTGAGGGAAAATAAATAACAATCACTAGTTTTAAAACATCATTTGCTGTTTGCGTCCGAAAAACGCGATAAAAGTCGCATCAAGATATTCTTGTGGTCGGACTGGTTGAACACTTTTGAATTGTCCGACCACAAGTTACCTCTATTACAGCCTGTCTGTAGTCTCATCTTAATCTCTTCCTCGTTTTGGAGTTAAACACCGATTTTTTCCGATTAATTACACTTACCTGGTCTTCCGAACGCCGAACACTGTCCAGTTCGCCTTCCAGACTGGCGATTTGCTGTTGCATGTTTCGAATAGTCAGATTTGAGGCTGTTTCCATTTGGAGTTTATCGCGTCGCAGACTCTGCGCTTCATTCTCCAATTGCTTACACTGTACTTGAAGCTCTTTAACTCGGGACTCGGCGGCATGGAGGAGGGCATTCGTACCCACAGCTGCCAACTGGTAAAGCAGAGAGGGAGTGATTTATGTGAGGATTCCTAAGTTTTTGATCCACACTCAGAATTATCATCATAATCATGAGCTGTACAAACGGGATGAGAGGGCCGGTGATGTTGCAAATCAAAGAGCATTCGTTTGCGGAGAGAAAATGAAGGTTACTTCATCTAAAGGTCAAGTATTTATCTCAATACTGGGTAATACTGACCACTTGACATGAAGTGTACCGGCTTCACACAATCGCATTCACAGCCTTCAAAACACGCACACACACACTGGTAGATAATAAAAGTGGAAGCGCAATTTATCTTCACCTGCCATATCACGTGAATCACATCAATTATGACTCACCTTGAGTTCGGACAGTTTCGCGCTGTCAATGTCATGCCTGCACTCCCCCATTGCTTAGCAAAGGTAACACACAAAGCAGGATCAAAGGAGGGAAGAAAAAAAGGCACTTTTGCTCGAGTTTTTCGGCATGACTTTGATTTACCGACAGTTCAATAGACATTGACAAGGCGGGAGGTCACTCAATATTTGACACGCAAATGGGGATACGGACGTTAACGCCCTGGTGATTCGCTACAGATATACAGGAATTCAGCAAATTTTCGACGAATTTTAAACATATTTCTGAAACCATGACCCAAACTGTTGCCATAGCGATAAGGCATCGGGCAACCAATCAAATTTAAGTAAATTTTATTACGAAGTAAAATGATCACATAAGCATTTTTAATAATAAAAATGGATGATTTATGCATACTCATTACAATTTACTGCTAAAACTTAACGAGAAAGCAATGCAGGAGGTTGGAAATCGACTGGGTGGTGCTAAGCTCCCCTCGGACACCCCAAGGGTGCCCTATCAATTGTGTGGCTTTCAAATGGATAAACACCTGTCGCTGGTATGGCCCTAGCCAATTCTAGTACTCGATAAACCTCATGATTTACGAGCAGTAATTTTAAGGGTGGATTAGAGCCGAGACAATGGCCAGACATATGAGAGAACCGTACATAACTCACGTGACCATCGGCATGCATTCGGTCTATTTGCTTTGTACTTCCGCCAAATGACTTTCAAATGGGCCTGTTGATACACGCTCATATGCTAGCTTTACGGCTAGTTATCTTGGCTGCCCTCACTTCAGTGTTATGACTAGTCTAGGAGAGTCACTTTGTAATTACTTGCCTTTGAAAGATCTCAGTAGTCGCCATCGGTTCATGCCTAGATTGAATTGACCCCATTTCCAGCACTAAACAGACAGCATAACCTCCATCTACTCACCGCACTCTGGCTGTCACTAATCGCCTCATTTTTCAGTCGAGCATTTTCCGCCTGCAATGTGTAGACCTCCGTTCTCGTCCGCTCCAACTGTTTGGTGAGTCGCTTGTGCTCGCGATCCGTCGCAGCCGCAGAGGCAAGGTGTTTCCGGGCCTCCGCCTCCCCACCCTCCAAGTCGGCAAGACGACGGCGAAGCAGAGTTAGCTGGACCTCCAGGTCGTCATTGCGTTCGCGTAATTCACGATTTTGCTGTTGAAGTTGTGCGAGGCGTGACCGTTGGGTGACAATCTTTTCGCTCTCATTGGAGACCAGAGCCTTCACACGAACTGAAGCATAAAATTGACCGCCTTTTTTTGTAAAATTGACAGCAGTTAATGCCAAGTTTCTGACGACGAGAAGATTGACCTAACCGCCTAACTCACCTGCGATTGCGTCCATAAGTAGGGGATATTCGCTCTCACTTTCCACATTTTTGAGCTTTAGCTGATCAACCAGTTTCGAGATCCACTGACGAAACTGCGGAGGTAAGCAATACATAAACTCTGGACATCAACCACTTAAATAATTTAAGTAGATGATTTCGCTTACATTATTTTGCTCACTTTGAAGTTTTTTAATTGTCAACTCTGAGTTAGGAATAGCACCAGCAAGGGTGGCCTTTTCATCCTTCATCAGGGAAAGTGAAGCCAGCTTCTCCCGATGCGCCTTAACTTGAATCTCCAAGTCTCTCAATTCCTACAAGCGAATGAAATAGAGATGACGATTTTTTTTTTCACACGTGATAACTCATGCAATTTTTGCCAAAATGTGGACAAATAGACAAATCTACCTTTCAGTCTACTAATGGCGGCAAAAAAAGTAGTGAAACTCTATTCCGCCACATTAAAAGTGTCTAAAGACTACCTATTTCTTTTATGCCACGGTAGAAGTTGTATTCCGCGTCCGGCCAGTGGTACAGTCATTCCGCCACGCTCCTAGCCCCTCGACCCTTCTGTATACTAATGTGATTCACAAAACCTTCGAAAAAGGCTAAGAACGACGACTTACATCCCTATCTAGAGGTCAAGTGAAGTGGCGCAGAAAAATGAGTTACCTTTCGCCACACATAATCAAGCATTCTTGTAAACAAAACCCACTCTCTCTACTCCTTCCTATTTTGTTCGTCGCCATAGCAACGAACACCAGTCAAAAAATTCTTTAGTCAGCAATACGACGGTGTAGAGGAAAGGTGGGAAAGTAGGCGGCACAGTTCCTTCGTTAGCCCGTTTACTTACCGATTTGACCAATTTTAGTTCCTCCTCACGCTTTACAATGTCGTCTTTGGTGTAGACTAATAATTTCCTCATGGACTGTTCCTCGCCACATTTCAGATGGCGGCGAATGAAATGACTGTAAAAAGGCAAAACGGGGAGTAGCATTAATTATGAATAAATGGCAACTTTTATAAGCTCAAAAAGGGGAAATTTATGAGGGTCAGATTTTATGTGAAGCTTAAAGCTCTTTAGCCGATGAGTGGAAGTGATTTCGGGATTAATCGAAGTAGCATCTTCCTTCATTTCCGTGGAAAGCGGGGATCATCTCAAAGATAAGTTCTGCAGTGGGGCTAACAAGAAGGACCTAAGCCCTTTAGCTCATTCAGCTACTTTTAAGCGATCATGGGACAGACAATTTTCCTGCATTCCTTTAAAAAACTCTCCTCTGAAGGCTGATACCCACAGAAACTCTTGCAGTGCTCTGTGCTCCAAAGAGGTGATAAGCGATTCGGAGTCAACGTCTACAGCGGTGTTGGTGTGGGTAGCGTCACTGAGTCGACGAAATCGTGACTCGCGTCGCTTCGCCTCGAGGTGGGCACGCTCCAGCACGCTAGTCAACTTTTCCACACCCTCTTGAAGGCCACGTTTTTTCAGTGCGGGATCTGTCCGCGCTTCTCTTTGCTCCTCCAATTCCTGTTGAAAAGTGCTGCAAAATTAGTAAACGTACTCTATGTTTCTATTCAAGGTTCCGGACCCTGTTCAAGAGGAGGCCTTTCACACATTCAGCTAGAGAGTGTTTCCCATGACCGTACCTAAAATTCCCCAGCGCCTCCGTACGATAACAAAAAAAATCTTCTACAGTGGTATGGTTTGTCACGAACCCTCGGTGGCAGTAGCGGCACCAAATTCAAACGGCACAGTTTGAGCGGAGAGAATGAATCCACGGAAATGTTTACAAAACATTCTAATTTTGAGTCCTAGTAAAAAACTTATGAGAGACAAATTTTCCAAGAATCGCAAACAATCGTAATCGGTACGACTTGAATTTTACACGCTATGCCGCATTTAGGCAGACATTATAAACACACTTATTTGCAGTTTCGTGTTTAGCAAGAAAAAAGTATCAACATCAACTTCTTATACTGTAACTGAAAAGGGAAATGCTTGAATGACTAAGCTTTTTGTGCCAATTTCGGTGTAGCAGTACACTAAAACCAATCACGTGGTTCAAGGTACTCACGGCACAACTCAATCACCTCTACAACAAAAAACAATTGCTGACCTTCCTTGTCTGCTTCATTTCGGGTTCTGCACTATTTCACGACTGAGAAATCCTATTAAGTTCCACAACGATTCACAGAGTAGTTACTCTCGCAGCCTTATGTTCGGCCTCAAAGTTGACACCTTCATCAACCAAACTTGATGTCTCGAATTTCAGAGCCTCATAATTCCAGATGCGTACCTTCGCCTAAATGACAAAAAAAAACATTCCAATCAGAACCATAAGAAGGATATAATAATGCAGTGAATAAAAGCAAATAAGGGATGCGCGTATCTGCGAAGCCGTGCTAAAGCAATGGGTTTGCACACAGGTCACAACAAGAAATAAGTGCTTGATCATCGCTGTTCCGCCTTTTTCACTCCTAGAGTGGTTTTCTAAGTTGTTTTTTTTGCTAAAATTTCAACAGCTACTGAAAAAGATAAGGCTACATAAGAGTCGACATCATGCAAAACAAAATTGAATTGTTAGCACATTTTCGGAAATGACAAACTATGCAAGAATTATACCTTCCCATATTTAAGGCCAATATGCGCCTTATAACCATGAATATAGACAACACATATTGTATCGATTTGTGACCTTAGAAAAAGGCTAAAGTAGGTCGGAAATTAGTGGAATGCCGGGATGGCCTTATAGTAGCAGGTCTTTTTTTAACAATTTGCCTCGCGGTTTTCCAGCATTAAAATTCCAAAACGGCTAAATTACGTAAGCGGATGAGACCAAGCGCTGTATGCAATTAGTTAATTCGGCATACCGCAAATTTGGGTCAAATTTAACGAACAGCAAGCATTGGAATAACCCCCAAGAGTAATTAGATCAAATATTATAAGATATACGGTATATAAGCGAAATGGGTCATTAAAATTACATTGAATGCAATAAAAAACCACAACCACCTGTGATTTGCAGCAGCCACAGGGCAATTCAAAAATATGACTACACGCAGTGCACACGGATATGTACTCGTTCAAACATATAAACTCTTCTAAGGTTGTGCATAATTTTTTTATTTCTTTGTACAAAACACAGTTTGTGCATTTTATTTCATTTGCATTTCAAAGCATGCACATCTTTTAACCATGTATTGAAAGATAATTTTTAATTTTTTGGAGTTTTTTACTTTGATTGCATCTTTGTGTGCATATCTTTTTTTATTAATTTTATAATTATATGTTTGTATAATGTCCTTTTTAAAAGCTTTTAATCCCTTATTTTGAGCGCACTTGCGTATGCATTTTGTGTCGCATTTAAATTTAAAAATCCCTATTTTTTATCAATACTTTATGTTTAATGTTCATGCATTTTGTTTGGTCTACCTGGTAAGACTCCTCCTAATCCAAATCGTGCATCGTTTGGCTCCTTCGTTCAATTTTTCCTTACCTCTGTTATTTGCGTGTAATGCGCAGTATTTTTGTAAGTGACTGTGTCAAGGTTTTGCGTGGAGCATCTTGTGTTCTAAGTGCGGCAATAGCTATTCAGGCGAATGAAATAGGGACATTTTTGCATCTTATTGGTGTACGAGAATGCCTTCGAGGTTCTGGACAGCTTCATCCTGTTGCTGCAGGTGGTGTCACAAAGTTCCGTCGTCCTTACAACAACTGTAAATGCACCACTGCTCCTTGTTTTTCATTTAAGACCAGGAATTACTCCACTTTCGCCCCAGACGCTTTTGAAGCTTCTCCGAGAAATAGATCTCTATCTTCCTCAAAAGAACGACGTGTTCCCGTCACTCGGGTTGGTAGATCGGTCGGTTTCGGAAGTACAGTTCGGGTTTGGTGCACCTTAACTCAAGTTTAGATCTATTTGTTGGATTGGGACTTGGAGCAGCGGCAGAGTACGCGAAACGTTCCATAGGTGCCTCGGACAAAAATGACAAGTCGAATGTCTTCCTGAATGACGCCAATTTGGAGCGGATTGTTGATACTCTGTGCCGTATGCGCGGCGCCGCCCTTAAACTGGGCCAGATGCTCAGTATACAAGGTATTGTGGAATATTTTTACCTCTATCTACCCATTTCCATTTTCAGACAGTTCGCTTGTCAGTCCAAAGGTGCAAAAGATTTTTGAACGGGTTAGGCAGTCTGCGGATTTTATGCCAACCTCACAGATGTACGAAGTGGTAAATGCTGAACTGGGACCAAATTGGAGGGAGAAGCTGGCTTCATTTGATGAAAAACCTTTTGCTGCTGCTAGCATTGGTCAGGTCCATCTCGCCACCCTCCCGGATGGAAGGTAATGTTTGTGTGCATGACTGTTCTCGTTACACGTGCTACTATATTGCTATCATTTTTCTGGTTTTAACTCAATTCATAGAGTCTTCTATTTACAGTACGTTACGCATCATTTTGGACAAACACGCCTAAAGTAAATGGTTCTTTTACATCCATCGAGTTTCGCCAAACAACTTGGGATTCATCTCTTACCATTGTGCTGACTATATCTAGACTGGACAAAGCATTCATTCAAGATGTTTCATTACCATTGTTACTACTTGCAGACGGCTGGCCATGAAGGTTCAGTATCCCGGGGTGGCGAAAAGCATTGAGACCGATGTGGCCAACATCACAATGATCCTTAAACGCTTCAACTTCATGCCTCGCGGTCTGTTCGCCGAGTCGGCGGTTCGTGCCGCCAAGAAAGAGCTTAAATGGGAGTGTGACTACCTGCGCGAGGCCTACTACGCCGAAAAATTTGCTCGTCTTCTTGCCAATGATCCAGTCTTCTTGGTGCCTCAGGTCTTCCACGACTTCTCCACACAGAAAGTCTTTACCACAGAGTACTTCGAGGGTCTTGTTATCGATGATTGTGCCTCATTATCTCAGGACGTCCGAAATTGGGTAATTAGCTGTTTTTTTTCTTTGGATGTTGATCCTTTCGTTTTCCACTATGCCAGGATTACTGAATGCAGACTCCTCTCTCCCCTACTGCTCCAATTACCAGTTTTAATTCTATTTTATTCCCCTAAGACCGCCCCATCTTGTTTAAAGCCTCTTACATTTGTTGTAAATCCTCGAACTTTAATCAATTACGGTGACTCCTTATTCGTTTGTGCCCCTTCTAAGTAATTAATGAATGACATTTTCTGCCTTGTGGTTCGCCAACTTGTGTGCGAGGTATGGCCGTTGTCTGTGTCTTACTTCCTAACTAGGATCATCACTTCGTTGATGCATTGCCTGACGCCTTTCATTTTTAGATTGGTGAAAATCTTCTGCGCCTTTGCCTCCTCGAGGTCTTCGTCTTTAACACCATGCAGACCGATCCTAACTGGTCCAATTTCCTCTACAACAGAGATCTGAATAAGGTAGTACTGTCCTCTAAAATCGTTGTTTTGTTTTCCAAATATTTTTATCACCATCCCGCGAATTTCCAATTTTTGCCTCCAGATCATCCTTCTGGACTTCGGCGCGTCGAGGGAGTACCCGCGCCGGTTTGTGGATGACTACCTACGGGTAATCGTGGCTGCATCTAATGGTGACAAACCGGGCATCTTGGAGTACTCAAGACGTCTGGGCTTTCTAACGGGCTATGAGACTAAGGTGAGTTGCTGTTGCCGTCGGTTGATGATGCGATAATTGGGATCGTCTTAAGTCCGATGGAAGGGTTTCGGGGTTTTCAATGAATCGAGTTTCGATAGTCCCAGACGCGCTTGAGGAAGTTGCTAGTGCTTTCGCTCTTGCAGATCTTCTTGAACCTCCATGCAGAGCTATCATCAGTTAAAATTCGCCGGTCTGGCTCATCGCTCACCTATCTGCCTACATATCTACCATCTCCCATTTTCCATGATCTTTTTCCTCATCCTAGGTCTTCTTGGACGCCCACGTAGAGGCAGTGAGTGTTTTGGGCGAGGCCTTCGCCTCTAAGGTGCCTTTCGACTTTGGAAAGCAGTCGACGACCTATCGCATCAACCGCATAATTCCTGTGATGCTAGAACACCGTCTTACCCCACCACCAGCGGAGACCTACTCTCTCCACCGCAAGATGTCTGGATGCTTTCTACTTTGCGGTAGACTGGGCGCCGTGGTCGACTGTCGAAAGCTCTTTCTCGAAGTAGCGGATAGTTATGTCTATGGATTAGGGGAGACACCAGAAGTGGCCTGATCCATCCTCCCTTCCTCTTTTCCCTCCCTTCACAGACTAGCCCCTCCTTGTTTGTATATGAACCAAGCGATAACTTGATTGTCTTAAATAAATCCGTCTTTTTGTGAACAAATCACTCTTTTACTTGGTCATTTATCTTTGCTCCTCCGAAGATTGTGTATGAATGGATAATTGATGGTCCTGTCTAAACTCCTTTAATGGAGCAAGCGGTGGCCCTTTTTATTTGCTACGAAGGGATGCTCCTCGCTCTATGTCCTCCCTAAATTAGATTTCACGTCATATCTTCAAGACTTTCTCCTTCGATCTACCTTTTTTTATAACAAATGGCTTAAAAGCTATAATTGTAGCCTTAGTTAGGAGTTTTTTTTTTTTTNTTTTTTTTAATTCCAGTTATAGCAACTTGGTGGTTATTTAGGTCTTGTTGCAAAAGGGAAGCATAGTGAATCCCGTGACAAAAGTTGTTGTAACTTTATGACCGCCTCTCAAATGCACTTTTATCCCCTGTTTGGAGAACCTTCAGAGGGTAAGGCCACGAGTTCTGTTAAGGTAATGCTAGCTAAGAAGAAAGTGTGTATGTCTATTCAGATTCCTTTCAGTGACCCCAAGGTTGAGTAGCTGGCCCCGAGAGTAAGACTCGTTAGCCTCCTGGATCGGGTTTGCTCCGAAAGAGGTGTGCCAGAAACGGGGTGAAAAAAACGGCGGGGGGAGGCTCTAGTCCTGACCTTTTTATCTTGCCACCAAGATAAAAATTCAACTCACTGAAGACTTTTCCAAGTTTTTTGAATTTGCCTTGGAAATTACGAATAGTTATTTTATCATCTTTACCCACAGGAAGTAAGACAATGCGAGACGCTGCCGTAACAAATGGATGTAGGAGCACTCCCTCCATGCCAACTAGCCAAGGGGACGCATTCCCAAACGTCGAGGATCCACCACCCTTCTTGCCCGAACACGAAGGCTACACTCTGTTGGAAAACAGCAATACGAATGATGACAGCACTGGCAGCCGCGGCAGTGGCAGCAGCAGCGAGAATGAAGAAAATGACACCGCCTGGAGCAGTGATTCCTTAAACGATGCTGCGGTCGATGAGGCCCTTCGACGAGCGTTGAATTCCGACGAGGGAGTCTTCAGAACGTTTCCTACTTCGGTAAGACCCAATCGAGTGGTCAATTATTTTCCATCCTCCAACCTTTTAGGCGGAGCCTGAATATGTTCCGGATGAATCATCACCGGCTCTTTTATGGAGAACGCCGATGAGTGAGGAAGACAGACGAATTCCACTTCCTGAAGGTGAGTGAATCTTTTGCGTATGGTTGGTAACACTGACCTGTAGAAGTCACTACCTGTCACTCGTTAATCCTGTCTTATGCTCCAGAAAAGGCGGCTGAGATCAAGGCTTGTCTACGCAATTTCCAACTACCCGATGCCAATCTGCCAGCCTGGGCGAAACAGATTCCCGAAGAGGTGTGGAAACAGCGACTGCTACAGCGTCTCTCACCACCCTCTTCTGATTTGTCGTAGGTGTTGTGTCGACTCTTTTTCCTCCTCCTCCTCCTCCTCGTCTTCTATCGGCATTCCTTTCACCCCCTTTTGATTCGCTTCACCTTGATCACTACTATCTTGTCAGCTAACTGTGAAGGCCAATAATGGTATTGGTGGATCCGATGAATGTCTTCTTCAGGTGACCTCTTCTGCGGACGGGTCTCTGTTGGCCGTTAACCCTCGCCATGATTACTCACTCCTAGCAAGTCCGGGGATTCAAATCAGGGGAGGGGGAGGCACGGGGAGGTACGCTGATGTCAAAATTTTCGGCCATAAACTCCCGCGTCGTACATAACTTAGGAGGAGAAAAGCAGACTTAGTGAAGCTGTTAAAGGTGTTTACAGTCGCACAAAACGCCTTTTCTTCTACCAGTTCCCTACCTCCCCACCTTTCAGCTAGGAAGAGAGGCTCCCCTACCGAGATGAAGCCGACCATTCTTTATAGCACTTGCAAAACTACTCACCATTACTCCGAATGCTGAGGTAAGTTAAAGTGTTAACCCAACGCCACCAAAAAGTCACTACTCGACTTTAGCCCCCTAACTCCATCCCCCAGTCCCCTTAAATGTCTCATTTAAATTTAAATAAGCAAAGCAGCAAAACAAAACAAAAACAAACGGAGGAGAGCTAAAATGAGAAGCTTTAAACAGTCCCACAACAGTCAGCAAAAGTGGTTTAATTGAAATGGCTACACATAAAAGTTCTATTATTGACATTCAGCGTGTAGATGGAAGGGATAGTAAAATTGCTTGCATGCAGCAATAGAAATGACAGTAAAGTGGGCTACAATTGATTCTCCTTCTCCTCTGCCATATCGGCTTCCGTCTAATGTAAGGGATAAAAACAGTGAAATCAGAAAGGGCACCCCAAAGGGAGTAATCAAGGCGAACTCACGTTTCCATAGAGAAGGAGGTTTGAGGTGTCGTCCTCCGTCTGCATCACCATTTGTTGCTGGCTGCTAGCATCCCACTCTGGGGAAGAAGAAAATTGAGAAGGGGAAGAAAGGTATACGAACATCCCTGACAATTGCTCTGACACCTACCGGCCTGATTGATAACTGCCAACTGTGGCTGCCCGTCTTCACCTTGGATGAGGACCAGAGTCTGCCCAGGCTCAAGCTGAAGGTCCTCCGGCAGCACAAGACGCTGAACCACCTCACCACCAGCGTCGGTAATATCAATCGTGGCAGGAAGGTTACCTGCTGTGCCCAAGGTAACCGCTTGCTGCTCAATGGCTACTGGAGCCCCAGCAGTATCCGTAGTAGCTTCGTGGAGACTCGCGGAGGTTGGATCTCCTTCGGCTGCGGCTTGAAGTGCGTACACTCCAGTGTCACTATCGTGAACGCCTCCTGCCTCGTAAGCGACCTGTTTGGTGATAAATAATGTCAAGTCCAATGAGTATGCATCCATCTACCTCTCTCTCAATAAGAGTGGCCTTCAAGTTTCATTTAAATACCATAATTTTGCTCCTCTGGAGCTCCGCCAACTATCTCTCTTCCTTCATTATAAACTGAAGTCTGCAGACCCAACTCGTAGAAATCCTTTTGATGAATTGTTCAAAGACAGATAAATTAAGTTCAGCAAACAATGCTAAATAAAAGATAAGGGGACCCCAGTTTCCAACACTTCCCCTCACCTGCTGCTGCTCCTGCTGCAAGCGCATCTGTTCCTCCGCTTCCATTCGCGCGGAGACGATTTCGGGATCTGGTTGGAGAGTAGCACCCTCCACCCCACACTCCTCCACCAAGTGACGTGCCAGTGTATTTCCATCCACACCAGACAGGGCGCATCGTGGACAGGCAAACTGGATGTCCGCCACCACTTCTGCCCCCGCCTCCGCCACTGATGGATAGTCTACTTCCATCGGATCAACTGTTGTTGTTGCTTCTTCGGTGGATGCCTCTGTTCCCGGTGCTTCCTCCTCTACAGGCGGCATATATCGTGTCAGCCAGTCAAAAGTGACTATGGGACGGATCATAGGACTTCCGGTGTGTGCGGCAGCACCTACGTCAGTTCCTGGGGGGTACATGTGTGCTCGGTGGACGTGGCGAGTAAAACCGGCAGCGCAGCAGGTGGCAAACACGCAGGCCGAGCAAGGGAGATACTGCCTGATAGGTAGGTAAACAAAACGTTAATGAATGGAAAGGTCCAAGATGGAAAAAGGAATGGTTTAATGATTAAACAGAGGGATGGGAACTTAGGTGGATGTTGTAATGGAGGTATATGTAGGGGGCGCAGAGATAACAAGGTGAGCAGATAATGGAATGGACAGAGCCGACCAGTGGATGGATAAACAGATAAAAGAATTGATGAATGAGTAATATAAATGGATCCGAGGTTAGCGTGTAAAAGGACAGATCAGTGAATATGAGAAAAGGGATGAAATCAGGAGGGAAGGATGAATAGATGATAAAATTTGTAAAAAAATTCTACTTGTGGTCATCTGAGGAGAGAGGATCACCACATTCTAGACAGGTGAGTTGAGCAGCCTCGGGAGGCAATTGAGTGGTGGAGAGATCTTTCGTGCGACTCGGTTCTGGAGCGTTGAGGAGAATCACTCGATTCTCCTCTTCCGCTGCTGCTGCTGCTGCTGCTGCTGCTGCTGCTGCTGACGCTGCCAATGCGGCCGCTTCTGCGTCAGCAGAAGTACCTGCAGTATCGGAGATCGTCAACTGCTGTTGTTCTGCCGCAGCACTTTCCCCGAGCGACGACTTTGCTGCCTCACTCTCCCCCGTCTCTTGCTGTTGTTGTTCTTGCTGCTGAACAGCTGGTTCAATGGCGTCAGTCTGAAAGGAGGGAGGAAAGAATTGGACGGAAGAAAGCTAACTCATAGTTTCCAGATGTACAAGTAGAATTGATGAATGTCACCTAAGCTTATTCTACCCGAACGATTACCACTGTATTACACCTACTTCCTCCTGTTAACATTTCATCCGACTGGAACGAGGGGGATGGGATTGTATTAATTACATAAATATAGCTAGTATTTTCTTCAACAAAAGGCCGCGCACACCCACCATAAATTCCTCCACATCATGCGCCTCCTGTACTTGGCCATCCACGTGCTTAACCAGCTCCTGCTCCCGTTGTTCCTCCAACTGAATCTGAGCTTGCTGTTCTTGCGCCATTTCTTGCTCCTGCTGCATCTGTTGCTCCTTCAACTGTTGCTCCGCGGCTGCAGCACTGCTACTGCATGCTTTGTGATCAAGCCTCCGATGTACCTGGTAGTCCGACTTGTTTGTAAAGTTGAGGCGACAAGCAAGGCAGCGACGTAGTTGGTGCTGAACCTGGTGCATTCTCAGATGCTGCAGATACACCTGAGTCTGCCCAACACCCGCACCTAGACCCGCTGTGCTCACACCACCACTACCACCACCGCCGGTAGGAGACATTAGGGGAATGCCAGGAACTCGAGCATCAGACGGAGTGAAAATACGAAGGCAGTACGTGCAGAGAAGGTGGTTGGAACCACTATGAGCCTTCTTGAAGTGGTCCAAAAGGTCCTCGTAGAGAGAGGAACGAAAGAGGCAGATGCGACAGACATAAGGCATTTCGCGTTGACGATGAGTGGATTGAAGGTGGTGAGCCAGAGCCAAGTCGCTAGCTGCTTCCTTGCCACAGATACGACAGGAAAAACCCGTAGCTGTCAGTTGGGGCCTAGACCCCTCTGGTCCGTCGACTTTTGTCGTTTCGACTACTGTTGCACCACCGTGATCCTGTCAACAAAAAACAAAACATTTTAGAATGCTCAAGGCAGGGTTTTAGTAACCCACTTTCTCTAAATGAGCCCGAAGACAAAACGCATTTGCAAGAGCTCGATTACAAATCCGACACTGGTAGAGCGGAAAACCCAGAAGGCCTTGAATGGGTTCGTCAACATGGCCCATGATGTGATACATAAGTTTAACGTTGGAATAAAACATGCGCTGACAGACAGCGCATTTAAAGCGAAATTCTGCCTTCTCTTCAACATAGGTAGAAGAGCCTTCCTGACGACCGTAATAGTACTCATCGATAGGAATACATTCTAAATTTAAAGAATAGATAGTGTAGGTTAGAAAGGAGGCAACATTACCAACAGATGAATCACGGTCGTTTGTTTTCCTGATAGCAAGACCATCGCTGGTAGAAACAATTTCAAGGCCGGATTCAGGTCCCAGCGCACTCGAAGCTGGGAGCTCCGGCTCTGGAAGATCATCGTCAATATCTGCTGCGCTCCTGAAAACAATGCTAGGTGGGAGGAAGGAGCGAAGAGGGCGAGCTGAACCATGTAGTTTGGCCTTTTCTCCCTCAACAAAACATTCGGATACAAAGACAGATGGCCAGTCGGATCGAATGGGTTTTTCTGAATCCAAAAAGTCATCAGGAACAGTTGTATGAGCCTTCACAACAGCGACTTCACCTTCTAAGCAAGGACAAAATTAGTTCTAGTAGAACTAACCTTCTGGTACAGGAAATTCCCAGTTATTTTGTTGCAAAGTATTATAAACAGAAATAGCACCGGCATGTTGTAAGGCATTCAGCGATTCACCAGTAAGTAAACCATTGTCCCCAATCATAACAGCCTCCTCAGTTATGCATACATTCCCACAGTTTGCCAATCGACTTACGGCCTCTAGATAAGTTCGGTATTCCCTACCGAATGAATAAAAAGATGAACAAACTGTAAGCGTGTTTGGTATGCTTTCAGTTGTGAGTCCGACAGGGACTCAGACTCACACAGCATTGCAAGCGTGCGGTGCACCTTGGGTCGATTGTCATTTCTTAACTGAAACAATAAGAAAGAGGTGACAATTGCAGAGAAGCACAACCAAATGGATAATACTATCAAATAATACCATTGTCAATTCTAAAACAGGGAGCACTGCACTAACGCATTAAAAGTAGCTTATTAGAAAATCACAACTAAGATAATAAAAAATGCAGTAGTATGAATCTGCGCGCAACGGTTTTTATTTGTAAAATTCGAGACAACAGTTAAAGAATTTTTGGTAACAAATATATTACAAACCTAAATTGAATTGATATACTTCTCCAGCTTCAAAAGTATTTGTTTAACTTTTTGACTGCAAGTTTGATTAAAAGATGTTTTTCCCTAAAAGGCAAAAAAAATTAAAACACGTCATTTTTAATAGGGATAAATTTGAGGAAACTGAAACATGATTGCTATTGTACATGATGCCTCCGAGAGGCAAACTGACGTCAATATAAATTTCACAGCCTAATTTTTGTTAAGAAATTTAGTTTTATGGTTAGGAATTAGGAAATGCACTATTTTGATGTATTGATAAACAACTTTTTTTATCACATCTAGCACTATAAAAGGCATGCTTGTAAAGAAGCTGTAAAGCAATATTAAGCACTAACCAATGGGTTCTTTAGATGGCGTTTAGATGGCTGATTTCTAACTTTTAGAAGATTAAACATGATGCACGGTTAAAGCAACAGCTAACTTTCTCCGGAATCTGCATTACCTGCACCACTTTTGCCACTCAGTATGTCGATATCATTTTTCTATACCAGGCCTTACTGCTTGCTTGTTTTAACGGGTCGTAGCGCGGGCTCGACAAAAACTGGTTGTGGTTACCGCGGTAGAAAATGTCTATTTGTGACCGACCGAAATTGCCCGAGGGATTTCAAGAACTTCTAGAGGAGCTTTCCTATGAAGTTATGGTGGAAAGGCCAGCCGATGTCATACAGTTCTCAATAGACTTCTTTAAATCCCGCCGAGGGCCAAATAGTACGTGCATATCCAAAAAGGCCGCATCTCGAAGGGCTAGCGATGACCCCCTCGGAAATGATAGATCTCTTCATCTTAGTTCCTGTCCTCGAGACAAATTCACTCAAAGACCTCAATGAACTTATCTGTAAGCATGAGCATTTTAAATCTCTACCTAATTCCTTTTCTTGTATCACTTGGTCGATGATGCCTTCTTTTCGATATGGGCACCTACTTTATTTGCTTTCATTTATTTCATTAATTGACAGGAACTCTTAAATATGTTGCCTTTCTTTCCTGTTGGAAAATAAGATGGTGTAAGTGCTTCTATGACGAACATATCTCGCCGAATCCTCACTTCTTTATTCATAAGCGACATACCTGACGGCACTCAGCATTCGGAGAACGCAATCTACGCCCAATTAGTAACCGATATCGACTCCCCACAATTAAAAACTCAATTATCACAAATTTCCAATTCTAGACAGAAAAGGCCTGTAGGCCGCAGGGATCCCAAAAAACATTTCTAGTTGACACATAAATCTGCATTTTTAACAGAGGAAGAAAAAAAGGTGGAGCTAATTACTACTTTATAAAGATATGCTCATGGCAAAAGAGACCTCTTTAAAACACCTTTAATGGCAACTAGTAAGAAGACAGGGAGCAGGGGGCTTAGGGAAATCCATCAAAATCATCCTCAGAGAGCTCCTTTGCGCTTTCCATTTCCTGCTGCTCACGTTCACGACGCTCCTGCAATGTTAAGAAAAGGAGAATCAATTTCTCCAGAACCGATTTAGGCAATCCAATTGTCAGTTTTCCAAACAACTTCCAATGCGCAGCGGGACGAACTTAACGCTTTATTTTTGAGAAGCACAGCAAAGAGGGGACGACAAAAATAGCGAAGGAGGGCAAGAAATAGGACGTTATCTACAAAAACGTTTTATCTTCACTCTCTTCCTTTTCCGCCGACGGAACTGAAAGGAACATTGCAATTCAAGCGCTACTACCCAATGCTGGTAAATTTGACGAATAAAAAACAATAACTTTAAAGACGGCTATTCGAAGAAAACAGCCTTATGTCTGTCACAATAATCGGCGGTTTCTCACCTCTGCTGATTCTAGATCTTTGCTGTACTGTTTGGGTGGATAGCGCATAGCTTTGATAGCTTGATTTCTTATTCCCAGACAGAAGCGGATTCGTTGATTGAACTGATCCATCGGCTCCCGTGTGGAGTAGAGATCGCTCGCCTCCGTTGTTATCATATAACCACGTTCTCTATTTATTACTGCCTCGATAACACCATCGCGAATAGCCTAGGTGGTGAAACCCAAAAAATGGGCACTAAAAAACCCCTCGGCTGAAACAACAGTGAGCTAGAGGGCTAATCATACTGACCTTTGCAACAATGTACTCGGCATCCTCTGAACTGTCCAACTGCAGCTTCGCAGCCACATCTGTGAGGAAAATCTTTGAGTAGCTCAGCGAGATCCTACGGACCCCCGTCTTGATAACATTGTGACGCAGACGTAGAATAAGAGTGTAGGTCTTATCATGGTTAAACTGCTGCACGTAAGTTTTAAGGACATGGTTGAAACGCCCCAAATCACCAGCATGGATGGCCTGAGTTAGCTGGAAATAGGGATGGAGAGCATCCTTGAGGTCTTCTTGCCGAAAAATGCTGCGATCGGGTAGCTCACCCAGTAGTAACTCCACCACCGTATTCAATTTGTGCAGAGCCTGCTTGAATCCACTTGCCGTCTGCTGTGGCGCCTTTCGGTGAGCCGAGACTAGGTGATCGTGGGCTGCGTTGTAATCCAATTGGATGGCTTTTATGAAGCCTAAAATTTGTAATTAGACCATGGCCATTCAGACATAGACTAAACTCGTCATAGATGGCTTGTAACATTTCTTCCAACCACAAATCAGCCTTGAGCTAGTTTATTCATAAAATTTATAACATTATGGTAAAAACTTCAAACAAATTAGACAATCACGTGCCTAAGTAGTAGAGGAAGCGAGCCCATTCATTATTGGGAGCCGATTCAGGAAACTCTACACGATTAACCAATTTTGAGGCCTGATCATGAAGATTATAGTGAAGGTAGTTCCTCAACAGGAGATTAATAAGAACGGCTTGGCAATCGTGGTTCTAAAGGCAAAAGAAATTCTCCCGGTAATTTTGTTAAAATCGGAAGTCCATCCGACGGAGTTAATTTACATTTTTCAGCGTTGCTGAACGAAGGCGCGAGTGCAAGAAAGGACGAATCTCCTCGAGTCTGTCATCCAGCTCAAAAGCTCTGCTATGGTAGTAGAAGCAGCGACTGGCGAGAGCTCCCATGGTGCGGCGACCCGTTTCTTGTGTTCTCTCCATCAAAAGAGTAGAACATCTGGTAGCCTAGGGACAAAATCACTAGCTTTTAGTAGAGAGATTGGTAAAAAACTAAAACAGGGTATTTTGAACATACTTCTTTAGTGTTCCCACTGTCCAAAAGGTGAATAAGCAGCAACAGATGGAGGTACACTTCAACTTCTGGTAAAAGAGCACCGGGTTTTTGTGACTTCGGCTTGACGTTCAGTTTGGGAGGAGCGTCCATTGCCTTTAAACAATGGAGGAGATTATCAAGGCATGGGCCAATTTTACCTCTGGGAGAAACTCCATGAAGTAATTCCATTGCTGGGACTGGGGAGTAAAGTAGGTGTAAATCAGACCACGCAGTACGTTGCTATTGAGTTTTCGGCGAATAGGAACGATGCCACGAAGGACTCGAGTCATGAAATGAAGCTCCTTAGTTGCAACTGCCTTTTCGACGTAGCGAATCTGGTCGCGGATGTCTTCGAGGGTGAGCAAATCAACATCTTTCGCAGCGTCGCCTTCAACTGAGACCTTTACCTTATCAGCTGAAAGCTCCTCGGAAACAGGCTGTTGGGTTGACTTCAGATCGGCACGCATATCTTTTATAACAGTGAAGCGAATGAATAAGCAATGAAGTAAATTAACACAAACTCTGGACGTAACATATGAGGTTGAAGAAGGTGAACAATGGACACCTAATATCTGAGTTCAATTATGGCAATTATTACATTATCCGCTGTTGATCCAATAAAAAAGCAGACTGCTGTAATGTTTGATCTGCATATTATCAATAACAGGAAAATTCAGTATCAAAGGATAAACGGCAACATTTCCAACAAATAATGCTAGCCGCAAAAAAAACATAATAGTGTCAGGTTAGTCCAGTGTTCATCAAATAGAAGAGTTTCCCCAACAAACACTGTTACCATGAAAATCTTCCTACTGAAACTATAAAGACAGGCATTTAACCTAATCCATCGACCAAAAACACATAAATTCACTTAATTATGACCAGGAAGTCTAGGTAGTCAGTAAACGATATTCAGACGCAGACGGCGTCAAAAGCCAACTTGCTGCATCATACGGAATATTTAAGTGAGCCACATTTCTGAAGTTGGCTTAAACAAGGACGTAAATTTGATTTTATGAAGATTAGCTAAATGAAATGCACTTTCAGTGTAAATAATTAGTAGTTAAATGTTTAGACAAAGGAGCTGTTTTCAGGGGGAAAATAATTACGTCTCTGTAATAATTGAATCCTATATTAGCTGCAGCGTAAGTGGTGAGATTTGGTTCACACACCATAAGAGCTAAGCCTTTCTCAGCGCTTGCTGAATTGATGAGCTACATAATTGTCAAAACTTTTACTGTCATTGTGGGTTCAGGATATAATGATGCATCAACAACCATTCCTAAACCACAAAACCGCGTGACGACTCGCCCATGACTGCCTTCGCTGCGGTGAGAATGGGGTAGAGCGCTAACTCGATTATTCTCAATCATAGGTCAGCGCAATCAATACTGTGGGGTGAGTTGACAGCTAAAGGGAAACCCATACTTACTGATGTCACTTTTCAATGATTTGGACGAAAGACTATTCAATTTACCAATCGAGCTGCCCTTTTCTGATCGTCAATCAATATGACAGAGATGCATTTTTTCCTCCTTCACTTGCTATAGGATCTTAAGGAAGGACCAACTGTTCTCATATTTTGTATGCTCTATCTTTACCTAATCAACTCTTAAAATGCCTTCTAAAAAACCTTCCCCGGAAACGCTTTTGCCACTACCTCACCCTCTAATCCAGTACAGGCCAAAGTAGTAACTCAAACTCGGATCCTGACTCTTAGCACTCAACAGTCTCATCCATATAGCAGCTGTGTTCACGCACACGTTCCTCGGTAAAGGGTCAACTCTACGTGCACAGGGGAGCCTCAAGTTTCTCCCCCTAAGAAATCACTTGTCAAGTGCATAATATGACTCGATTGCGGTCGAATTGCCTATCAAACCATACTATAAATTCACTTTCATCTTTTTTGCCAGTGAGTAACTCCAAAGATCACTCCTGTTTCACCCCTTGGAGACCTTTTGTTGCCCATATTTAAACCCATCAGCAGAGACCATTTAACAAGTCATTGTTTAAGAAAGAATCTTAATCACCTCCCCATAAATGCAAGTTCCATCTTTTATTTGAGTAACTCATTGCCACTTTTGTGACAGAGGAGACGCATTCGCTGCTGGAGAGTTTGTCCACTCAAGTGTCACTTGGGTCATTCACTTACTGCCAACTTCCCAACTAAGAGCAGGCAGGACAGCTGAGGATAGCACGATGAATATCATTCCTTTATAGGTATATAAAGGGAAAATTCTTTGCAATTTGATGTTACCAACCAATGACCCAGATGACTGACTTCCTGATTTATCGACCGACTTGCTTATTTCAAATCGTCAGTCAATAAGTCAAGGACACCTTGATTTCCTCCTCACTTGCTACGTGCACTTGCACGCTCTTTACTTCCCTGTTTTGCAAGCCACATCTTTACTACAATTAGCTTTTAAATGCTTTCCGAAAAGTTTCTCCACAAATGCGTTTACCATGTCCTAATGCTCCTCGTGCTCAGTCACACCTCGTCAAATCTGTTAAAAGTTCTTTATATCTTTCAAATTTTAGGTGATATCCTACCTTACTTCCATAAGGGTAAGAGGTTGACATCCTACATTCTATGTAATTGCTTTACTTTTAGAGTACCCACTTAGAAGGACTAGAGTGCCCGCAGTAGCGCACACCTGCCGACGAGCGATTCGTCAGGCTAGACCAGCACAACCGGTTTCGGTGGGAACTTCAATGGAAGGCGATAGTCATGGCAGCCCTGTTGGTTCATCTAACCCTCCATTTGGCACGGCGGCAAGGGAAGAAAAGTTGGGTGAGCAAATCATTCTCCATGTGGCTACTAAAAAGTTAATTTCGGCATCATATTACCTCACAAAATCCTCCATTTATTTTCACGTGCTGCAGTCAAAAATGACAGTCCGAAGCCAACTTGTCGTCCAGTGAGTTTTAAAATCGTTGTCACACTCAAATTGCAAACTAGAGACCGGTAGCTTAGCCATGCTTTGTTCTTTTCAGCGGCTCAAAAAACTCCGCAGACACATGTCAAACCTCTTCCTGGGATGCTGTCGTGGTGGTGCTGAGAAGCCTTAGACCATCAATGTTCCTTACTGTGCAATTCATATTACTCCTTCTACATTTTTCTGGAGCGCCTACTTTGTACTTTGTGTAGAGGGTGGAATGTACATCCTATCACTAATTTCCTGGGAGGCAAATACATCACTCAGAATTATCATGTCCATAAGTATGACGATTTAGGCACTTTAGGTTACGGCCAGCCTTTGAGTGCTTAAAAATCCATGATTTAAGGGTAAAATTAAAAAAATTATCTCACGAGTGATCGGTTTCGATGTAAATGAGACTATATATGATAAAACAGCCTAGGCATAAACGCTACCATCTGGAGTCTTTCTTTTTTTATTAATTGCATATCAGTAAAGTATAGTTGTAAATTTGCTGAAGCTTTTGCATAAAATGTTCGTCCATGGAACGCTGTACACTCACCGCATATCCGAAGCCCGTAGCTGAGCGTTGGGAAGATGTGAGGCTGCTTACACCTTGATAATTTGATAGTTTTGTCCGCATGGGTTATCATAAAATGTCTTTGGAGTTCTCTTAATCAGAGTGATTTAATAAAAAACCATTTTTGCTTTGTATGAATTTTTTATTTCACACATTTTCTATGTAGGCATATTATTCTTTACTACTTATGCCTAAAAGTAGTATTGAGACAGATTGAAATCCCAAATAAATTGCCAATTTTTTTCACTAGTTTCTCAGTTACCAAAATACTCTTTTGTTCAAATTCTCCTATAACACTTTGTTTATGAATTTTTAGTATGCTTAATGTTACTGCCGGCTATTTGTGATTATGAGTGGCATAAGGTGAAACTAAACTCTTCCTAAATCATTTTGCCATTTATCAATTTACTTACTTCGTGGTTTTATTGGCTTCATAGAAGAGACAGAAAACTATCTATGATGATTAAATGGGAGCATCTATTCTGTCAGGCGTTGACAAGGCACCAAAACCGTGGAGACGTTGCCTCCAGGTAGTGTCGTTAGTCGCTCGATCTTTCTGTATGTCGGTGATTTATCTTCTGCGAGGTTGTTATGAATTCTTATGACTCGTAAACCCTAAAATTTGCTCAATTTTGTGCAATCCTGTTCCAGTGTTTGGAAGGTAAAATGCTAAAGTAGCCTTAAATGGCACCGTTTTAGACACTCAGTTATCCCTAACTGAAGTTTATGTGTGAATGTGCGAAGAAAGTATGACATGGAGGCACACAACCATTTCATGCATACCCAAATTAAGAGCGCTTAAAGTACAAAACGCAGAAAAGTGCACGTCAGTAATTACTATACTGTATGATGCTATATCACTGAATGAGAATAGAAGACATCGGTGCGGGTGGTTGGATACCATCACATAAGAAAGAAAGATCATGGAGCAATGATACACTCACAACTGATCCACATCATTAACAAATCGCCGCTTAACAAGTCTACAAGAACATGAACAGCAACACACCGTAGGTACACCACTGCCACGTAGTAGCTAGCAGGCACCATAAATGAATTCTCTGCACAGCAAGCGTCACTGCGTCAGAAACACCCACAAAATACCGAAAAGTAACAAGAGTGGGGGAAAGTACTAAAACCACAAGGATGAATGCGACAGCTATAGCAGCTGCCTTAGGGGTAGCAGCGATGAGTGACCAAGTCTGGCATTACAGACCACTGAACATCAGCAAAGGAAATGAGCTAAACACGGAGCCAATAGTGGTTCATAACAGCCATACGTCCGCCTTGACCATATCACTAGCGCAGTGAATGGTCCTCCATCTTCTGCGTTTTATGGAGCGGTGTAAGATCTTGATTTTTCTGTAAGAAAAAGAATGTTTCTCCCTCTGATTTACTGGTTCTAGCATTAGACCTTTTAGTCCAAGATTTAGATTTGTTTTGACAGAGAGAGGACTAAATCTGGCATTGCAGACGCCTATACGGTTTTCGTTTAGGGAACATGGCAAAAACGACTTCACACAGGGCACAGTGAAAGCATCAAAATGAAAATAAACTGCGTGGTTGTTCGACAAAAGTGGTAAAGGAAGAAGCGATCATAATTTGGGCATACAAAAGATCTCATCCCATTAATTCATTCACCAATCCTCTCTTGAACCATGCATCCATCTCAAAGTATCTTCAGTGGAGTCGTTATCAAAACACAATGCCTACTTGCAAATACCCAGTAGCGATAATTTTACGACATTTTACCTTGCCTCCAATAACAACTTCATTTTTAAGAAGTTTTGACTTTTAAAAATAAGTATACTTCTTTAGAAGCGCAATTTGATACAACTCTGCAAAACGGCACCCATAATGCACAGCTGAAACAGCTTAACGGCCATGTTTGGAAGCTTTTCAATTTCCACAAATTAAATGACATTACTTATAAAGTGTCTCACTTGTTTCTAAGCGTGTAACGAAGACAGAAGATATCCCAATACTTAATGACTCTTGTAATGTAACAGCTACGTGTAAATAATTGGTGATGCTGCTAGTAGAGCAAAAGTTTGTGTGGCATTGGAGTGTCTGCTTGTGATTTACCAAACCATGTTGCAAGATCCCACAAATGTTGTCCTAAGGGCATAAAGTTTGCAACAAATCAGAAATAAAGAAACAAGTTTTAAAAGTAACTGCGAGAAAATTAGGCATTTATAGCATGTGACTAACTTCCTCGGGGAGGCTTTTCATTGCATTGAAGAGTGACCAACATGGTAAATGCACCGAATATTTCACGTTTTAATTAGGAATGTCACTTATTTACATTTAATTTACCTTTAGGCACCACCAGGGCACTATTGTCAATGAACTTCAATCTCATACTCATTATACTTGAAATGCAACTATTCTACACGGCTTTTCAGCAAAATTGAGCCATTGGGACTTATGTTAAACAAATCCGCCAACAATTGTGTTCCTCCAGAAATCCATTGCAACACGTAAGGCTTCTGCAATTTCGAGCGTTAAAAGAGAGTGGGGTTAAATTAGGATATCCCTAAAAACAAGGCGAATACTGCAGCTGAGACACTACTTACATTTACTAAGTAGTACCCCATCCATAAGGAATGTCTCATTCGTTCATTCATAGTATGAGCAAAATTCGGGACGCATTTGAGTGCAAACAGTTCAAGGATGTGTCACCAATATTTTTTGCAGATTCTCGACACTTTTTCTGGCATGCCCACAGTCCTGAGAAGGCATTGAAGTGATGCAAGAATGTTAAATGATTGAAGGAGGTTACGCACGATGTTCTCATACGTACAGAATAATAATGCGAATGGGATGGAGGCTGGAGTTAATCAACCTGTGCATAAGAAGAACATGTCGCCAAGAGTCGACATGTTACATTCTAGACCACTTGCGCCTTCCAATGGTGCATTGGAAAGGAGGGGCGGGGGGAGCGGCTTAAATCCTCTCTGTTCAAATGGCTCAGGTCGAGGTGGAATCTTGCTTTATTCAGCAGCTACGCTATCCACCTGCTTTTATAAATTGTACGAGAATGAAAGTAGAGATGTTGGCCATATTGCTTACAGCACTCTAGCGAAGGCGATCTTACCAACGACGAATTCGCGATGGCATTGAAGTTCTGCAAAATCAAGTTTGTTTTTGGGTAATTTGACTCGCCATCCTCCCAGAGGCATGTGTGCTCTGCCCCAGTCGGTGTCTGACCTCATAATGCAATCCAGTTTTTTCTAAATAATATGTTTACCAAAGTGGGAATTGAGAGGTAAGCTTTCATAACTCATGGTTTGTGCTTCAGTTACCGACACTAAGCAGACCAACCATCCCAAAAGCAATTCCAGACAGTCGTAAGAAATAAGAGAAGGGATTGGAGACAGCCTATATTTCCAAAAAAATTCAACAACTAATTAAATTCGACAATAAAAAGCTCTAAATGAATATGTAAAGTTTATCGACGAAAAGTGGAAAAAGGAAGTTAGGAATTAAAAAGGTAATACTGGTTCATGAACAGCATAAGAGTGTTGAACACAGGAATGAAGATGGTTTGCGAGAGAAGGGACAATTTAGAGGTTGTCTTTGAATCCGTCGTTGTTATCGTAGATGCAGCGGTTGTAGAATTTAGTGCTGAAGTCGTCCTGCTGTCCGTCCCTATTGGTGTTGTCGGCACAGT